GGGGGGCAAGGAGATTGAAATTATAAAATGGAAATGAGGGGTCTCTGGGTGGCTTAGTTCATTCATCATCCCACTCTTGATTTTGGCTTAGGTCATGATCTAATGGTTCATGAGGTCAAGCCCCGTATCAGGTTCTGTGCTGACAGCTCAGGGCCTGGAGCCTGCTTCAGATTCAGATTTAAAAAAAGAGAGAGAAAGAGAGAGAGACAACTTTAAATTCCAGTAGTTGCAAAATCACTGGTTTAAAAATCAAAAGAAAGATATCAGAGTCGTGAGAAGGATTGTAAAAATATATATATATTAAAATCTCAGTCCTCATTCTGGTTTTCTGGGTTAGAATTTCTGTTACGTGTCTTGAGGGCCTGTGCTCCTTCCACAGGTCTGTTTGGGAGCTTCCAGTCCAGTGCAAACCTTCACTTCACAGATGAGTACACCCAGGATCTGACTGAGCTCTTTTGTGGTGACAGGGCTCGTTAATATCAGAGCTAGCATTGGAATCTTTTCCTCCTGTTTGCATGTACAGTTTCTTTTTATGTTATAATATTCATGTTAACACTTTCAACATGAAAATTGTTTCATAAACAATCAGATAAACAAATGAAATACCAAAACAGTTTGAAAATGTATTGCTTTCTTGCTAATGTAGGGGCTAATATAAACTGAGAGCAAAACAATTCTGAATAAGTGGAATTGGGAGGTTTAACATGGGCAATACCCTTATTTATCTCCTTTTTAGACGACTGAGTCAAAGACCGACAGCAGAAGAACTAGAACAGCGGAATATACTACAACGTGAGTCCGGCTATGGGCATAAAGTTGTACAGCTTTTCTTTGTAGATTTCTGACTTTAAGGCACATACTAGAGTAGAGAAGAGAAGCATTTTCTGCAAGGGCCAAGGAGAGGGTGTTCGGCCCAGGGAGGACTATTCATATCTTTTCTCCGGAAGGAACAGAACTCCCCCAAGCTTCCTTTACAAGATATCAGTATAGTATTGCTTAGTGTACTGGGAACCTCCAGAAAATTTTGTTCCAATATTCTCACAGTATCCTGAGACCTGCTTTGGCCATGTGGGGAGAATTTGACAGCATGTGGCAGATACTGCCCAACTTTCCTCCTTAGGGAAGTGAGGTTGTGGCTGTGCACCTTCCTATTCCTAGTGGACTTTGAGGGCTAGGGCCCAAAGTGAGGCCCAGATGCAGGAGCCTTCCTGTCTTTTTCATTTTTTAAGACTTTGGTACATCTAAAGTCACAAAATAAGACCATGTGTTTCATTTACTTTCTATGTGCATAATTACCTTCCTAAAATAACATTCAATCTGATATACATTTGATTTAGTTTTCCAGATTATAGGATGAATTTTGCCCTTAAAAACCACCACACTGAGAGGATTAGGCTTCATAGAGTTACTTGTGGGCATGCTCAGTCTGCCCAGTCCATCCCCCCTGTTCCCTCATCACTATGTGGATATATACAGCTTAGTCACTAAGTGAATTTTAAACTTAGAAACCTTTGTAGACATATCACATGAAACTTAGTGTGATCTCCATTCTTCATTCTTGGGGGTTGCTCTTGAGCAAGAATCTGCAGAGTTTTTCTAAAGGGCACATAGTAAATATAATCACTTAAAAATGTAAAGATCAGGGGCGCCTGGGTGGCTCAGTCAGTTAAGTGTCCAACTCTTGATTTCAGCCCAGGTCATGGTCTCACGGTTTGTGAGATCAAGCCCTATATTGGGCTCTGTGCTGACAGTGTGGAGCCTGCTTGAGATTCTCTCTCTCCCTCTCTCTGCCCCTCCCCCTCTCCCCCTCTGCCTGCGCACAGGTGCAGGCACTCTCTCAAAATAAATAAACGTAAAATAGTTAAAAAATGTAAAGATCATTATTAGCTCATGGACAGTAAAAATACAGGCAGCTGGCTGGATTTGGTACCATAGTGCTGCTGACCCTCGCTCCTAAGTATTTGACTCTACCAGTTGACAAGAAAACTATCTTGATTGGCCATCCCCAAAGTTCGTATTTTATTCTGACTTGGAGCCTATAAGAAATATCTGCCATGTGATTACTGAATACTTTGATATGCAAATGGCCATTTTGAAGTAATATTCTTTGTTTTGGACCATTGACTGTAGCTAAAAATGAAGCTGATCGGCAGGCAGAAAAACGAGAGATTAAACGTCGTCTTACGAGAAAGGTATGTAGCCCAGCTGTTCGGTTTCAGTCTGTCTACTGACCACATATCTTGTATTTGAATGACCTATTTGGTTAGAAAGAAACGTTTGACTTGAATTGCCATAGGTTGCTATGAAAATGTAATACATGATGCAGATACTGAAAACAACACAACATTATCCAGAGCATTTTTGGGGTGTGCCTGGGTGGCTCAGACTGTTAAGTGTCTGACTTCAGCTCAAGTCATGATCTCACAGTTGATGACTTCGAGCCCTGCATCCGGTTCTCTGCTGTCAACACAGCCCACTTGAGATCCTCTGTCTTCCTCTCTATACCCTTGCCCTTCTCATGCTCTCTCTCTCTCTCTCTTTCTCTCTCTTTCTTTCTCTCTCTCTGAAAAATAAACATTTAAAAAAAAAAAGCACTTTTGGGGCACCTGGCTGGCTCAATCAGTTAAGTATCTGACTTCGGCTCAGGTCATGATCTCACAGTTCGTGGGTTCGAGCCCCATGTCGGGCTCTGTGCTGACAGATCAGAACCTGGAGCCTGCTTCAGATTCTGTGTCTCCCTCTCTCTCTCTCTGCCTCCCCCCCACTCACTTTCTGTCCTCACTCTCTCTCATAAAAATAAACATTAAAAAAAATTTTTTTTTGAAAAGCACTTTTATCCCATTTTTACTATTGAAAGAATGCCTGGCACAAGGTGCTCCATTAATGTTTGCATAAATTCTGACCTTTTATTTGGCAAACCTGGGATTTGATGTAGACTCTAAAACCTGTTGAAGTAATAGAGACGGTAACAGAAGGAGTATGTAGCATTCAATTTTGCAAGGCACACTGGTGTTTTCTAATCAGAAAGAACTGAACTGACCCTTAGTGATACCAGAAGTATCACTACCAGAAGTATATAAACCAGAAGTATAAAAACACCAACTGGGATTTGTTCTTGGTCCCAGATCGAATGGGGTAGAATCTTTTCTGACCTAGACCTGTGTTGGCTTTTAAGCTTTTTCCTTTCCTTCCCACAATAATAGTTTGTAATTGGCTCCTGTAGATTCTGATTTGGCCTGAACTCTCTAGATATTTCTTAAAACTTACAAGAATCCCCAGAAGAGCAAAGGATCTAGACGGTTTCTTCCTGATTTCTCCCACTTTTCCCCTTCCCCAGGAACAGAGGAATTATCCTTGTTAGATTGAGGGGAGCTCAGTCTAGAGGCCAGAGCTGGACTCGATGCCTTCAGATTGAGCAGGTTACCTGACTATGCAACCTTAAATCCTGATTCGTTACCAGATCTCGGCATTATTCATAATAAAAGGAAATTCACCCTTTATATTACCCACTAGACCTTGCTTTCATATTAAAGGTATTCGCTTCCTAATGTATTATATGTTAGTGTCTAGCTCTGATCCTTTTGTTCCCCAAAATGTAGTCCATAGACCAGCAGCATTGGCATCACCTGGGAGCTTGTAGAGATGCGGAATCTCAGGCCGCACCTCAGACCTTAATCAAAATCTACATTGTAACCAGATCCCCAAATGCTTTGTATGCATATTAAAGTTTGAGAAACACCGGGTATACTGGTTATACTGGTTTATAGCTATGGTTCTCAATGTTAGCTGTGGCATTCAGGAGCTTTAAAAAAA